ACTGGAGAGTTTGAAAAATAGATGCAAAGAGTAACACTTGCAGAATTACTGTAAAAAAAAAAAAGAAGTGTAAATGACAAAATTATGTACAGTCAGAAGCCTATATCTATCTTGTAGTAACATTTAGCTCATCTCCATCCTGTCAGTTTTCGTTCTCTTCTCATTTTTTTTCTTCTCTTCTCCTCTTTCCTCTACTCAGCATCCTAAAATAGATCTAAAAAGAGTCCGTGGAGAGTGGTAATGTTTTGTAATGAAAAAGGGCACAAACCACCAGTGGTTCTCTCTGAATGCTCTGCTCTCATTCAGTCAGAATGACTCAGTTAACAAAGGTCAATTCTCTAAGGTAACAGTAGCAGCACCCAGCACCACTGTCATCAACATTGTCATCATCATCACTCTGTTTCACCTTGTTTAAGTCTTTTTTGTTGTCTCTGTGGCACTCTTGTTCATCTTCTCTCTTTGCAGTTTGAGACTCTTCTTCTTGTGTGCGGCTGATATTTACATGTCAGAGAAAAGAGTTCCCTAAGTTTGCTTTGCAATGAAAGTGCTACACAAGTGACATCTACTTGTATTATTCTGGGATATGGTTTTTTTCAGGGTGCTTTAGTTTTTTGTGTACACATCAAGTTAAAGTGATCAAACAGCTTGACAGTAGTTTGTTTGGATATTGTTTGCGGTAGGTAATTCATATCAAACACTGGACTCTATTCCCCATTAATGCCTTTCCCAGTAATTGCATATTTTAAATACAGAGAGGAATGTTCATTCTCATGGCAGTAGCATGAAGATTTTGCACATTTGTATATTATTGTAATTTACTGTCTGCATTTGGTGACAAAGATTATCCGGTCAGTGGTCTTTTTATTGATTTACCTGCTGCTTTTTTCATTCATCATGACACTCGATAGAAGTATCACAGTCACCGCACATTTGCACTCTGGTAAAAGCTAAGAAACAGCTGTACTTCTTAAGCAAACTTAAGTGGGCTGAATTCCTGTGTCAAGTTCTTGATAACATTTACAGAGGATCAGTGTAAAGCCTGGTAACTGGAAAAATCAGGAACTGGCACGAAATGTGCACATCCCAAGACCTGGAAACTCTGCAGGTGATTAATACTGCTCCGAATGTCACCAGTACCAATCTATGGAACATAAATGATAAACTATATAAGACAATCCACCCCAGTCACAACCTGTTATGTTGTATTTGCTTCTAAAGCTAAAATGAGAAGTATAAGAAGTTTAAAATCTTACACTTTGAAAGCAGAAGTCTTTTTGTCTCTGTAGACAAGTTTGAAATGACTCAGTTCTGAGCTGCTGTTGTTTGTTTTTGTGAGAATGAAAACTAATTGTGTGGATTGTATGTTTCAAAAACTGAAATGCTTCCACACATTTCCAAATGAATTTTTTTCCCTTGAGAAATGGCAGACCATCAAGGTGGAGCATAAACAATAATTAATCACATTCAGGGCTCAGGCATCATAATAGTATTGGAGTGAAGTTCTCACATTTCTGCAAATTCTCACAGATGTTCTGCACATTTGGCAAAAGATTTGGCCCTCCAGGGTTGATACTGTCTCAGCTTTTCCTGTGAGATTGTTTCTCTCTGCAACATGGCATCAACCATGGGCTTTTTGTCATACATATTTATAGAAGTATTTGTTAGCAATGCAAAACAAACCTCATTAGTTTCCCTCAGGTGCTAGGCTTTCATTAAAAACTCATAAAATATAGTTTGTTGCTAGATCCTTGGGGACTGTTAGATTTAATTTATATCTTATAACTGTTCTTCTTTCCCCAAACAGAACAACGCATATCTCAAGGAGAGTGGCCTATGCAGCTTGATGGGTGTGTAGCTATTAGAAGTGTGTGTTGCAAAACTGAAACAATTATTCAGGTTATTGGTTAAAGTGCAGCAGCCACTTCAAGTGTAAATTAATTGTTTCAGTGATTTTTTTTTCTTTTTAATTAAAGAAGGCCAAACTTACCTTTTCAAACATCTCATATGTGAAGATTTGCTTACCTAATTTTAGTTGTATACATTGTGAAGAGGTATTTGCCCCTTTCCTAAATGTCTTCTTCTTCTGTTATTCATATTTATCAAACAGATGTTAATTAGACAAAATTAAGTTGTAATAGTTGTAAACTTTCCCAAAACTGGCCAGCCTAAATTACTCCAAGAGGTCATCAACAACTCATCCAGTGGTCACAAAGAACCCAGAACAGCATGTAAAGACTCAGTTATGGTCAGTGTTTATGCTCTTTGCCAGAAAAATCCAGAAGGAGAATGTCCAGCTTGGTTATGGAGCAGGACAATTTATTATCGTTTTGTTTATTCGTATTGTTGCCCTTGCTGCTTAACTAATTTCTCCTTGCGGGACCATAAAGTATTGCATTGAACTAATCTGAAACACACCAGCAAGTCCACCTCTCAAAGGCTCAAAAACCAACTTTGGCCTAGTCAAAATCTGGATTTAAATCTAACTGATATGTTTGGCATGACCCTGGTTTCATGTTCAGAAACCAACCATACAGCCATGTGAAAGAGTCATTGTCTATTATCACAAGTGGCATCGCCAGTTATTACGTTTAGGGGGCAATTACTTTTTTCACATGGGGCCATGTAGGTAGGGGTTGCTTCTACCCCGTGATAGATGAAATCATTATTTAAAGACAGCTTATTGTATTAACTCAGGTTATTGTTGTGTAATATTACAATTATTTAATGATCTGAAACATGTAAGCATGACAAATATGCCAAAAAAAGATGTCAAGATGGGGGCTTAAATAAATTACTTAAATTGTTTGACTTTTTCACCACACTGCAAGGGTCATTTCAGTAACAAGTGCCCTAAAGGCATCAGCAGTAGCGTAGTTTTCAACATTGACTGGATGACTGGATAATGAAAATAATTTTGCGATGATTATGATTTGTTGTTGCGCAACTTTGAGCCCTAAAAAGCAAAGATTTTCTGCAGAGGCAGCTGTTGGAGTCGGTTAAGGTCATGCTCTGCTACGCTGTGACCCTGGTGGTGCGGCTTAGCCAGTAGTGATGCGACTGCTGCCCTGCCCCAGGATTCAGCTGTCTACTCAGCTTATGGTCATTCGCTGTGCTGACTGTGAAGACCTAGCACCGCTATATAGATAGCTGAAGGTCAGTTCAGGCTCTGTGTCAGAGGGGTGGTGGTGGTAGAAGGTGAGGATGTGAAATGTAAAGGGGATAATGAAGAAGTCTCAGTGATTATGAGAGGAGCAGGAGATGTTAACTGCTCAAGCAGAACACACAACCTTCAGGTCTATTTTACAGCTGATCCTGAGTTTGTCTCAAGGAAATAGTTAAATGTCACAAAGGAATCACCATTCAGTGTACAGACTGGCTTACACAAATGTATTTTTTTCACCATTTCAATTTTAATACAACTAAGAAAACATCAACTGTTCACTGTTAATAACAAAATAAATATGCTTTTAGAGGTTTTTCACAGATTCCACTGCCTGTATTCATGTGACTTGTTTTATTTCCTGAGGCTTGTAGATGTCTGTATCTAAGATTTTTGCTGCCACTCCAAAATGATTGTGATGCCCAAGGCTCCAAAGATGACATTTGGAAAATTTCACAGCATGTATCTTTTCAGATATGGTTCCAGAGCTTGTCGGGAAAACTCTGACAGAAGACATAGACCTTTAAATTTTGATCATTCAGAGATATTGGTGAGAAGCGTAGTTGTGTGGAAGCAATTTAATGGCAGGTCCACTTGTTAAGCAAGTGTGTCTGAATTTAAACAGGAATCCAAAACCAGGCATTTCGCAGTTAGAGGTCTATCCTAGTTTAAAGCTTAGTTTAAAGTCTTCATATCCAGAGTGGATAAAATAGTTGTCATCCTGGTTGTAAATTTGTTAAGTCAAAGGCTGTAATTTTTCTTGATTCTTTATTTTGCCTTTAATTTACACCAAAACTCAGTTTTATCGGAAAAGGATAATATGTAAATGATAAAACTTTATTAGAGAATGACCATCAGGAATCTGATTTCCTTGGGATTCTGACAGGGACATAACTGGATTTAACTTTGAACTATTAGAGTATAAGTAAGATGGATGTGTATATATATAAAAGACAGATATCTACAATAAAGTAACTTATCCAACAACGTTTCACCAATCTCCAAACAATGGACAAACAATGACGCAGAAAATCAACAGATCCAATTCAACTATCCATTTTTTCACCTGCTTATCCAGTTCAAGCTTGTAGAACAGACTGATAATAAAAACAGCAGTAAGGGGTGCTGGTATAACTCACTGGGTTGAGCAAGTGATCGGTGTGCTGTACAGCATGCAGATGCCTGAGTTTGAAGGTGCCCTTAGGGCATATAAGGCATGTCTTCCTCTTTCTTCCTGGGTTCTCTCCAGGGTTCTATCTCCATAATGTATATAAAAAACATTACTAAGTCATAGCTGTTTGTATTGAGTATTGTAGTACTTAATGGTTACATGAATTTCCCCCAATTTAAGTCATTTTTCATGCTAGGGCAGCAGTTTCTTGGTAGGCTGCTCCCACCAAGATGAATGAATGTTTGGCCTCAAACTGAGGGAATCTATAGGCTAGCATACTTTATTTAGCATGTGGACCATACTGTACCAAGGAGTACATGCCAAATAATACTTAAAGAGGGAGAGAATAGGAATTACCTACCAACAAGTGCAAAACTAGCAAAATAGCTATGCCTTATAAGGAAATTGTAAACTTACTGCAGTGTTTACCTCAGAGGATTTTGTTCTGCCTGAGTAATGTGAAGGGAAAAAAAAAGGTGTGCACAGGCTTTCTTCTTCAAGCTGTCCGAGTTCATGATTTGCAACCTTGGATGCTGTTTTTCGTGTAGTTAGTTTTGTTACCTTGGTTTTGGGCTATTTCTCAGTAATGACCTCAACTTTCAGTCGTCTCCCACCAGAAACAACACCTGCAGTAGTCAGTATGCAGACTCATGTTTGTGTTTCCCCCAGGATCCCACGATTCCTTCAGTTTTTACATCGATGAGGCGTCTCCAGTGGGCCCCGAGCAGCCAGAGACGGTGCAGAACTTCGTTTCTGTTTTTGGCACGGTGGCCAAGAAGCTAATGAGGAAGTGGTTGGCTACACAGACTATGAACTTCACGAGCCAACTGGAGGCTGGGATCCGGTTCTTTGACCTGCGCATCTCCACCAAGCCCCGTGACCCTGAAAATGAGCTGTACTTCGCCCACGGGCTCTTCAGTGCCACGGTTAGAAAAGAGTAGAGTTTTGATGGTTTTTGATGTGATGACTGTTTAGCAATGCTTGTGGTTGCTAAGTGATGTCTAACCATCTCTGTGTGTGTGGCAACATATTTATATTTGAGTGTAGACTGAGAGCCTAATTATACAAGGTCCTTCAGAGATTTGAAGTACACAGTTCACAGTCTGTATGTCTACATTTAATATCATCACTAAAGATTTTAATAATGTGCATATTTTGCTTTTTTTTTTTTTTTTTTTTTTAGGTCAGAGAAGGCCTAGAGCAGATCAGCAGTTTTCTGTCAGCTCATGCCAGAGAGGTGGTCTTCCTGGATTTCAACCACTTCTACGGCATGCAGAACCTGCACCATGAAAAACTGGTGACCATGCTAAAGGAGGTGTTTGGAGAGAAGCTCTGCCCTGTTGTTTTTGCTCAGGAGGTATAAATACACTTAACTTTTAACAGGGAGGAGGAGGGGTACGTGAAGTAGGAGCAGCTGAACATTTTTCTGATGCTTCTTTCGTCTTACCAAGAACATCTTATTTAGCTGAGTTCAAAAGACCTCAAGCAATTATTGTTTTCTCAGCACCGCACAACAGTGATTTTGTGTTTTGATCAGTACCGATGTAGAATTATGGTTATTACATCTCTAATCATAGTTCATTTTTTCACTCAGAACATGCCCATTTGCTTAGGAGACAAGTAGAAAAGTCTCCCTAAGATGAGACTTTGCTCTTTGAAGGTTTTTCAGGGTTTTTTCTTGTCTTTTTTCCCATCCAATTGTGGCCCATCTTCATCTCCCACCCTTCCCTGTAACTGAATAACCTAAAATAAGCAGTACCAGTTAGCCCTACAATTCATGAACTACCACAATCGCTGACACCACTCTAAGATGAGCACCTTCCTGTCAGGTGCAGCAGCTGAGTGAAAGAAAAAGAGGGCAAAAAGGCCAAGAGTGACTAGTAGGTTCTGAGAAAACAATGAGATTCTCCTCAGTGTTTAATTTTGTAGACGGAGACCTGAGACTGTAAGTTTATCTGCCATTCCCTTGTCATCTCTATAGCCCACATTTGCTTTGCTATTCAAAGTTAATCCACTTCAGCACTGTTTTCCAGCACTTGTTTGGTCTATTTTAAGAACTAATATTCAGCTGCAAGCCCATTTTTCAAATAAATAAATCAGCTCAAATAATCAGCTGGAAAAGAAGATGTGAAGTGTATGCGTCTTGGGATTGTGATGAAAAGGTGTATTTTTGCTGTAATTGACACTCCCTGAGGATCATCTAGCTCATTGCTGTTACCGGTTGCTTATGATTAATTAATATTGCTATCCAGCATTTCTTTCATCGGATGTAGCCAACAAAATGTGCTGCTGATGTCCAGCTATACACATAAGCATGTATTTGTAAGAATGCAACTTGTGGGAGACAGTCTCACTGTTTTTACGTCTGAAAAAATGTTTTCAGAAATGTATCATCACGTTAGAGTCAATGCAATTCACTTAAAATAGATTTTATATGTAGTTTGGTTCACTTACAGCTCTCTGTTGGTGTTTTATTGAGCCACTGACTTCAAAAATAACACATCTGACACCTTCTGTGATAAGTCAGTACTAAATATTGAAGATGCATCACTCTGAGAGAAATTCATTCATTCAGAATTAATTCAGAACTAAGCTGTCAATAAATCAGCTACCTGTTCAGGTTGTTTTATGTTCCTCAGTTTATAACCTCTTGCTACTATGAACACCTCCCTCCCTCACTCAGGTGAGTCTTCAGTATCTATGGGAGAAGGAGTATCAGGTGCTTGTCTTCTACCACCATCCCATGGCCCTGGAGGTGCCCTTCCTGTGGCCAGGCCAGATGATGCCTTCTCCCTGGGCCAACACCACTGACCCGGAGAAGCTGATTCAGTTTCTGCAGGCATCTATCACTGACCGCAGGTAAATTTCATATTCATGAATCCAGTGTCTGCTACACAGAGGAAGAAATCAGATAAAATCTGTTGTGTTCCCCACATAAAAATTTTTAATCACTTTAATTAATGATCCATGTTTCATTAACTTGGTTTTATGTTTTGTAACTTTGCAAATGAGCCATAAGGATTAAACACAATGGATCTTTTTTTATCATGATGTAGATATATTGCAGTGCTTAGAGGTCTGTACAAATAATTTGACTTGCTTTTGGCTCCTTTGCTTAACTTACTGATTTCATCAGCATGCTGCTACAAGTAAGCAGGCTTTAAAAAGATTAATTGCAGTAAATGCAAAGTAATTAATTCAAAGGTAAAGCAGTGAATTATATAAGAAGTAGCACTTCTGTAAAGCAAATATATTATGGTGACTATTAAAAAGGAAGAAAGTTACAGCAAAGATAACATGTAAACCCTCAATGTTTCTCTTGCAGGAGGAAGGGGACATTCTTTGTCTCCCAGGTGGTTCTGACACCAAAAGCCAGCACTGTGATGAAGGGTGTGGCTAGTGGACTGAGAGAGACAATTACAGAAAGGTGTGCATGCTCATTTATGTGCATGTTTTTGTGTTCATGATCGCTATTATGCTAGGCCTAGCAAAAAATGCATTGTTACCACCAGTGGTGGCACACAGTCTTCTTCCACACATACACAGACGCTCAGTTTTGTGACCAGAGTTATGGAAACACCTCAGGCACCAGAGCCCACAGAAGTGATTTAGCCATAACAGCTCGCAACAAAAAAATCACAAGCGTGTGTACCCTGACAGATACACACTTTAGGAGTCAAATGTGAGTCATTGTGGCATTTTGTAACTACAACCAAAGGCATGGTGGTTTCTACAGGTATCCCCAGGCATTTGACACTGGCCTAATTCGAGTTATTGTTTTTCTTTCATCTTTTTTTTGTCTGGAACAGCTGCCATAAACCAGAGGCAATTTTTCCTCACGTTATGTCTCCTCTTTCCAGTTATGGTACACAACTTTTTTTTAAAATTATATTAATTTACCCTTAGCTTTGTCTGTGTTTCATTCCCTCTTAATGTCCCCAGTTTGTTAAAAGCATCAACAGCAAAAGCATCAATTTTCCTGCCATGAATTATTCATTTGATAATTCCACTATCAGCCTTTCTCACCAGGCGTTTAGTTACTTTGATGTAGGCATCCTTCAGAATCCCATCCAAGCGTTTTGCACATAGACTGCCAGTGTTGGACTCAGCATAACAAGAAAGCAAACAACGAGGAGACAACGCGTAGATTTTATTTTTAATTTTTATGCAGAAAGCTGCTCTTCTTTGTTGCTCAGCTCACGTGAACATGTCCGGCATGTTCAGAGTGTCCTTCACGCAGCTGGTGTCTGGCTCGCAGACATCACATGCAGCATCACAGGGATCTTTTATCTCAGCACGTCCCTCTCTGTGTTTAACCAACTGTGAATCATCCCTTCCTCTCTTCCTTTTTTTGACATCATTTTTTTCCCCTTGCACTCTTTCCACTAACATGATTTTTCTTTTCATTTCTCCCAGGGCTTTACCAGGTATGATGCAGTGGATCAGATCTCAAAGACCTGGGGAGAGCGGCATTAACATCATCACAGCTGATTTCGTGGAGCTTGGAGAATTCATCAGCGCCGTCATCACCCTCAATTATCACCTGGATGACGAAGACGACGATGCGACCTGAGAACCCGCAGCAGGCGTCAAGGAGTGCAGTCACCACCACTGATACTAGTGGTTGCGTCTGTGCTCTCACTCTTTTCTCTTTGGCATTTATTTCAGGAGGGGGAGCTAAACGGCTCCTTTCACTTTATTTAGGGCTATAGTGAGATGAGCGGTCAAATGGAAAAAGGAGATTGAGGAATTTCAAGTTGAGACTGGTAGACATAATGCTGATGTTCGGTTGGAGCACTTTGAGAGTGAGGTTTTGTTTTGTTTGTGTCCAGTTTTAGGGGATCCAAAAGATTTTTGATTATTTTGTTTGTTTGTTTTTTCAGGTAAAATGTTTATTTTCTTTACTCCCTGTGCTGTAAAAATCCCTGCTTTGTCCACTGATCAAATGCACTGTTTTCAGGCTTACCACTTTATCACGGGTAGGTTCCTCAGAGCATATCAACCGTCTGCTAAATGTATTGGTACATCAATCGTGGTATTCTAGTGACAGTGACAGTTTTTTCAGAGGCTGTTTATAATAAGTCTGTGTATCTCAAACTTTAGGCCGGTGTAAGTAGCTAGCAGTTGTATGTCTTGTTTGGCAAATCTGTCCAAGTGAATTCTCTCTCTTTTGTTTTTAACAATATGCATCTTTGGTCAGATCACTGCGGGTGTTTTTGAAAACGCCTCCAGCAGCTTGAATGCAGAGTGTGATTAAAAAGTGTTGTTCCAATGTGTTTATTCAATACATAGACAAAAACGAATCATTCCCATTTCTTTTTGAAACTGTATTCCCTCGTGGGATTTTCACCCAGTAAGTCTCCACTGAAGCCAGCTTGCAGCAATGGCGTTTATTAGACACCTGTGTACTCTAAAACTATTTATCGATAGATTAAAATGATTCATGCAGTAATTCAAATCCATATTGCAAGAGAGAGTGAGAGTGCAGCTTGGCTGGCCGACAAGTGTTCTAATCATGTAAGATGGATACACAGCGGTCTCTTGTGCATGAGCACTAAAACAGTAATTTTCACATTATCTGTTTGATTCATATTGCAAGACAAGCATCAGTTCTCACTGTTGGAAATGAAGTTGATGAAGCAAGACATTTCTAACGAGAAGGCATTCAGTGTGACGTTTTTTTTTTTTTGCATTCTGTCGTGGGTGTTGAGTCGTGATAGCCAAGTATAAAAATACAGTATATCTGGGTGCCACCGTCTGCATTTCCTTTGCTCATTGCTTGCCCCCAGTCTGCATGTATCTGCAGATATATGTCTGCATATATATATATATTAGGGGTGCAACGATACACAAAATTCACGGTTCAGTTCGATACTTTGGTGTCACGGTTCGATATTTTTTCGATACAAAGAAAAAAATGTTCATGCCTTTTTAATTTGTCATTGATTAAATTTTCACGGCACATTCCGCACCACATCTCTGTGCGTCCATCATTTGTTTGAAGCCAGCTCACCTCCTGCAAATACTTTTCCGCTTCTTTTGTGGTTCGGACTCCTGACATTTCTTTGGAGGTGGAGGAACATCACAGTAATTGCTTAAAGGAGCTTCTTCGACATCTTTAAGAGTTCTAAACAAATGTCTGTCCTCCTCCTGAAAATCTTATGTATGCAAACACGCGTTGCAACTTCTTATCTTGTGCACGTTTTTTATTTTGACAGCGAATGCGCACCTGCGGACCACTTATGTGCAGCCCTGGTTATTTAGCTCGTCATATTGCAGCCACAGAAATTCTTTTGTCCATGAAACCATAAAGCTGCACTTTCTTTTTGCCTTATAGTCTGATTTGTCATAACTTTTCCGTTTTGTGGTAAGCTTTTCTTTGGCTGTCACTTCTTCACCCTGACCTGTCTTATTTGGTCGGACGTAGCGATTTTGCGAGCCCTGTATCTGATTGAGGAATCACTCATCTTTGGAAAAGAGAGTTTATTACAGAGAAATGGCTCTTTCCAAAATAAAAGCTATACTATACGCTTCTTCTGGGCTATATTCTCAGCAGCATATTAAACATATCAGGTCCCCATAAGGAGAATCCTGTGCTAACGGCTGTCTAAATGACTCGGGTAAAGTTTGTAGCATGCGTGCTTGTTGTTTTTGTCTGCTTCCACTTGTCTTTGCACTAGGATGATGTCGGAGTAAATGTGCAGTCATATTCGTTGTGTTCCCACTAGTGCTGTCAGCGTTAATCTCGTTGAAATGACGTTAACGCCACAACACGGCAAATCTCCGTTAACGAGCTACCGCGGATCGCCCCGTGCGTGGGGCTGGACGGCCAACACGTTAACGAGCTAACTGCGCTAACGCACTAGTTCCCACCCATGTAATTGAGCATTGCGTGGCACATCCAACATACTGTTTTACTTTAGTCCATGACGCGCTTACCTTCAGGGTCATACGTCACATGAAAACCAAAATAGTTCCAAACGCCAGATCTGAATGAGGGTGGGGGAGGTTCAATTTGCCATGTTGCAAGAGAGCTTAACTTCTGTCTCGCTAGCTTGCCCTGCGCTCAGTGAATCTGCGTTCGACTACTCCGCCTAGGCTGCACTGTCGAGCGCAGATCCACTGAGCGCTCAACACAGACAGCATCGTCAGAAGGAAAGTTGATAAAATAAATTAAAAATTTTGTATTGTTCGATACATATGCGTACCGAACCGAAAGCACTGTATCGAACGGTTCAATATCGATACGAGTATCGTTGCACCCCAATATATATATATATATATATATATATATATATCATATATAGTATATGATATATAATATATAATATGTATATATATATTATTATTTAATCTATATTATGATATATGGATGAGTCACCCTGACTCCATCACTATATCATGTATTTCATAATACTAGGTGACTGCTTCACAGCCACTCAGAGACTTATTGTATTTAAAAAAAATAAAATTAAAAAAAATCATAATTTAGAGTCAGGGGTCCTGATTTGGCAATGATGTTTTATCACTAGGAAAATAATACAAGAAATATTCAGTTGAGATATATGTGCAACTCTTTAGCATCTTCTTATCGCTCATGTTTATGAATCCCTCAATTTCTGCTGTATCAATGTTAGGGCAATACATTAATTTCTTATTTATATTTGGTGCATGTCATTCTTTCGCTTCCCGGGTTTAAATCAAGATGGAAAAGTACAAAGAAATGAGATTCAAAAAGACATCTTTTGTTGCAAGGTTTTATGCATGGAAAACACATACACACACACACACACACACACACACACACACACTAGTCAAATATCCACACACCTCATGGTCTGTGTGGTATTTTCTGTAGAGAATGTATTCTGCCAGGACAGTGTTAAGAAGTTCAGTAATGTAAAGCCAAAAACAGAAAACTTTACTCTTTGGATTGGTGAATGTATGTGTCTCGTGCGTATCTGTGCCATTTCTAAAAGTTTCATGTGAGTGACTGAGTTTCAGCTAGAAAGTCATGTTTGTATTATTATGCTTCAATGTGAAAATGAGTTCAAGTTTTAGAGTTTAAAGATGTGGTTTCATGTTAAAATGTTTTATATCGTGGAGAGTTTCTACATACTGTAACTGCAAATAGTGTACTGCCGATAAATTGTAAGATATTTAGATTATTATATCGTCACTAACAACATTTTCTTCGTTTTAGTGAACTACCACACCGCCCGTGTTTGTCATATTTATTTTACACTTTACTTTTTTTTGCATGAACTGAAATCTTCTACATACTATACTGTTTTCTGTACACCTAGAGGGTCCATGAGGTTTGTGCATAAATTTGATTATTTTCTGCATATTGTTGTTAGGAGCATGCGTGCATCTCAGCTGGAAATGTTCCTTCCCTTTAAGACAAATGTCTAAATTAATTTATTTTTTAAAGGTTGCACTCTTACTAGCCCATGCAGATCATGAATGAACCCACACAAATGAGCAGACTTTAAAATGCTTGCAAACCGTGTTGTAAGGACATTTGTGTCTCTCCTGGTCCAAACTGTTGTCACTGCCTTTATGTTCTGATGTGAAGAGTCCTTTGCTGTTGTAAAACTCGGAAACCTTTGTTCAAAGTGACTCTGTTCTAAGTGGAAAATGGCAGATCAAATAAAGCTTCTGTGCCTATTAAGTGAAGTATCATTTCCTCAGGAGTGTCTGGCTTGTTGAGTGGTTAGTGGTTGCTTGGTTGCTTAATTGCTTGACTGAAAAACAAAATCATTATTATGGCCATTATAATAAAATTCTAATCTAATTCAATCACTAAATGGCGGTACTCTAGATCTAATGTAGATTTTCAGCTTTTAAGCCAGCATAGCTGCATTTTTTTACTCGATTTGTGCAGAGGAGCATCTTAAAATCATCCTGTTTCCAGGGTGATGTGGATGAAGGTGGGTGGGCAGCGGCACCCAGGGTGACCTTACTGAGACTGTGTTTTGTAATTCAGCATCTGCCATTCTGCAGTAAGGCGTTGCTCATGAAGAGGAAATAAAGATAACTCAGGTGGAGAGTAGCCCCCTGCATCTGTGCACCTTCGAGAGTATCTAATATGATGACTAATATGATGCACTTATTAGTTATTACAATCTTTTTTTGTTAGGTTAATGTTTTTAAGCATGTAGTTATTCGCTTAAAAAAGGTTAGTTTTGATGCAGTTCTCATGTTAATGCTGTTTTACTCTTATTAACAGAGGTTAATTGACTGAGTGCACTCACTGCTGTGAGCAGTCATCAACCTTCTCTGGAAGCTGCAGTGTGCAATAGCAGAGTGGTTTTGATAGCCACAGACTAGCTCAATGAACGGATATTAAGTGCTTTGATTGCACATTACAGTAGTTTTGGGAAGGAATGGCACAGCTACTTCCCTTTCTGTTTATATTCCTTTCTATGTGATATGAGGATTCTTTAAATGTTCTTGTAGTGTGCTTTTTATTTGTTTTCTAAACCATGTTAATGGACTGATGGATGACATGCCAAGAAAAAAAAATGAACGGAAATAGTCTTGGATGTTATTGCTGCAGTCATTTTCCCCCGAAGAAATGATAAAAATGCCAATGTGTTGTTGTGCTTAAAAATGTGTGCATGTTTGGGTCTGTCTGTCTTTTTTTTTCTGTCACGCACGCACAAGCAAATAGACAGATGAAGAGGAGGTAGAGGTGTAGGAGGTAGAGATGATGGCATTCAGACAGTTTAAAGAGGGGCAGCAGTGAAATGCACAGTTTCAGAAAAGTTTGAAATGTGTGGAGGAGGAAGAATAATTTTACCAGCCACTCTTCTTTCTAGTTCTGAAGTCCTGATTGCTGTTTCTCTGAGGCATATGTATGTATGTATGTATGTGTATATATATATATATATATATATATATGGTAATGTATAGTAAATCCTTTGAATGGAAACGGTTCTCTCAGGCATGAAGAGGAAATAAAGAATGAAGAAAAGTAATTGGAATGCTACAAACAAACTAAACACAATTTTTCCTTGTCCTAAAAACGCAAGGAATTAGGAATTGGAAGATATCTTTCTAGCCTCAGAGATAAAAGCAGACATGTATCCTAACTCGGTTTTCACAGCTGAAAAAAGGAAACAGAATATGTGGTCAATCGTTTATGGGTGAGGCTGAGATGCACTTCACCCTACAGTGTAAAACATGCAACGGAGTAAAGAACAAGTTCAACACTGGGGCAATGGCGGGACGGTAATTAGTACTGTTGCCTCACAGCAACGAGGCCCTGGGTTTGAATCCACTGGCCAGCCGGGGCCTGCTCCCTCTTACAGCCCAAAGGCAGGTATGTTAGGTTAACTGGTGGTTCTAAATTAGCTGTGCTGTAGATGAGAATGTAAGTCTGAATGACTGTGTGTCTCTTGGTGTTAGCCCTCTGATAGATGGTGACCTGTGGAGGGTGTGACCAAACTCTTCCCCAGACAGATGGTTGGATGGACAGATGAATAAATGTTCAACACAAATTTTCAGGTTTCAGAGAACTTAATGACCTTTGAAATGAGACAGAGGAAGCAAAGCTTTCTTAAAAGTCTTGTGACAACCAAGAGAGGGGGCATGAGAAAGAGAGAGAGAGTTGGTCTGTGGCCACTGGTGGTTTATGACCTTTTTAGTCACAACTCATTTTTAAACAGTCTGCATATAAATATG